TATATATATAAACTGTGAATAAAAGTTATCCTGTCATGATGAGCTCCCCTGTATCGAGAATTTAAATGTCGAAATTAAAACAAAAAGAATGAAAGAAAAAAAAGAAAAGACATTAGGAAATATCGTAAAATAGAATATGGAAAACTAATTTATCAAACAATTTTATGATTATAATTAATTATTCAGCAAATATAAGGACACTCATCACGCTCATATAGCATCATATCGCAAACATATAACATTATACATATAACATTATACATTATTATAAAAATAATTCAAGAATCCGACTCCTGATAATGTTGACCAGTCAGTATCAGACACAGTGAGTCATTTTTTGTTTTTTAGCTAATTATAATTCTTCGAGATAATAAATGGAAAAATGTAACATTAAAACGTTAATCAATTCCAAGAATAAGAAAATTGGAAAATAATCGATAAACACATCAGAAAGATTCATTACTGCATACGAACGACACTAATTGATTCAGAGAAGCCTGGTTGAAGCCATTCTTCCTTGATGGACTCAACCAGACAGATATGAAAGGGCTTCTCAAGGCCTACTTCCCGATCATAGACAAGCTATAAAATCTTGAGTTGTTGTTACGTCTAATCAGTTAGTCATTCGTATAATAATGAGTCTTGAATTATTTTTATAATATTTGCGATATGGTGTTATGTGAGCAAGATGAATGTCCTTATATTTGCTAGAATTAATTATAATCTTAATTGTTTGATAAATTAGTTCTCCATTTTCTATTTTACAATATTTCCTAATTTCTTTTTTTTTCTTTTTTCTTTTTCTTTCATTCTTTTTGGTTTTAATTCCGACATTTAAATTCTCGATGTAGAGGAACTCACCATGACAGGATAATTTTTATTTTATTCATTATAAATAACTTTTATTCACAGTTTTTATATATATTAGTTTATGTTGTTTCTGAGAAAAGCTCAAGCCGAAACAGTAAGCGCGTTTTATTGAATAAAGAAGTTTCACATTTCATATATATATTATTTGCACGCGTTTTTAAGTCGGCCTCCATACAAAACTTCTAGAAATGATGTAACTATTTCCGTCACGCGGCAAAAGTTAGATTGATTCAATTCTCGTAGCGCGGTGAAAATTATATCTATTTCCGGGCAACCGAGACATAATGATTGATTGACTAATCGCGCCAATTTCCGCCGCACGGCAAACGTTGCCGCGTTCTATGTGCAAGAACCATGAGCTTGGATCCCCATACTCATATGGGCAACAGCGCTCTGACACCGAATGCAGATTGGTGAAAAGCCGATAGAGGTAAAATTTACTCCCATCATTAAAACCTGTGTTAAAGAAGTTAGAAATCGCTCCGAAATTTCGAATAAAGTGAAAATTAACTAATTACAATTGCACAATTCGGTCAATTAATCAACTCGATCAGTTTCTTTAGGTATTGTCACGTATTGTCCGTCACGTATTCTAACATTTTTTGCGTATGCGTTCATAAGAGAAAGCAATATCTGTTATCTCTTTCTATTTGCCATTTTTGGTCCACATTCGCCAAACTCTGACATAGGATCTCTATTAAATAAGTTGTGTGCGTTTGGATTACGGTTCGCGGTCTTGTGTGGACGTGCTCACGTGTGCGCTCTTTTATATCTCACGCGTGTTTTCTAAGTGTTGCTTGCGTTCCTTCTGAGACTTTCTTAGCTTCTTTTTTCCCATTTCTGGATATTTTTATCGTTTTTCCTCTAATTCCATTCGTGCTCTTTTGAATGGTGGTGGCATGCAAGGGGATTCCTCTCGCGTATCCCTCAGACCCGGATCCAGGTGATAAGCAGACCGATAGTCCAATCGCGTTTTCGAAGCATGCATTTTCATCAATTCGTCAATTTCGTTAGAAGAATTTGACATTTTTATTAATAACATTAATTAATAAGACGTCCAGAGCTTCATTGGACGACACTAAGTGACGCACTTCTCCGCTGGGGTATTGCCGTTAACGTTCTTGTTCATCATGTCGCGAAGAAAGAAAAGTAAAAAATTCAGTAAAGAACAAGAAAATAATCAATGCACTATTGCAGATGATGTTTCGGCGAGTAAAATTTTTCTTTCGCCGCAAGATGTTATTTATAAAAACTTAGAAAGGTCTCGTTCCCCCCCTTTCTCTCACAGAGGGATGAGGAGTTCTCTACATCCAACATTCAAAACGAGTCTATGAAATCCATGGGAGATCCGGATTTAAATAGTAAAAAGCCCACATCTAACAGAAATGCTGATACGACTTTCTCGGCACTCGTGGCGAGGAGAGTGCTCTAGCGACGATCTTGAGTCGCGCCAGTAAGAAGTCAGAGGAGGAGAGATTGTTAAGGATACCCCTCCTCCTCCTTAAGTCGCCATCATCGGAAAGCTTAGCCAAGGGCAGGTCGTCGACGAATTCTTTATACAATACAATTTGCATTGGATACAATTTCTTCTAAAGATATGCTACCTTATGTGGTTCTTCTACAAAAATCTCAAGTATGACTCTGTTCGTTTAAATCCAATTATGGTTAGCCGTATACTGTATTAAAGTTGGTCGATAATATTTCTTTAGTCGAAATTAAATCAGCGGGCCGCAACAAAAAGTTTCGGTCTCTCTCTCTCAATTATTTTGAGAAGGCCAACAGTCTTTGTATCATTCATACGGATGCTTTTGAAACACATAACCTTAAAGCAGTCATTTTTTTTTCTTTTAGAGTCATGCGATCTAACGTTATCAAAAAATGTGCCGCAAGAAACAAAAGAAACAATACTCAATGAGTTCTCCTCTCCGGTTAAGATTGTTTCGATCCACAGACCTTTCTCGTAAGACAGAAAGACAGAAAAGATGAGCTTATCCTCACGCAATCCGTCTTGGTTAAATTTCAAGGCCAGAATTTTCCTCATGCATTTACTTTTATGTTTCCTTCCCAGTGCTTCCTTATATCTCTTGTGTCCTAATGTGCTTTGCTCGTTTGAGATTCGGCCACGTCGGTTTAGAATGTAAGAGCATAGCTCGCTGTGTGAAATGTGGGCAAAGCAAGTATGTTGGAGAATCCTCGTCATAATCTTTCCCCCTAAATGCTGTAATTGTGGATTAGGATCATTTTCCTTCTTTTAATAAATGTTCCACGTACCTCAGACAGAGGCATATATTAATACGCAATTCTTGAAAATATTTCTTATGCTGAGGCTCCCAACAGGCTTGGAATTTCCATCGCTAATTACTTTCTCTCCCTTCATTCCCCAGTGATTTTCCTTTTCTTCTTTTACATTCTTCTCCCTCCTTTTTTTTCTTCTCTCCTAGGCATTACAGTTCTCCTCAGAACCCTTCCTTTTTCTCTTTCTTCTCCTCTTTTTTCTCCTTTTTCTTCTCTCAATTTCTCTGTTAATCCTTATGATTTACTTGGATCAATCCCAGAATTTGGCCATCCGCAAACCTTCGAACCTATCCAATCCTATAGCGACAAAGTTCGGGTCCCTTCTCCAGGGAATTTTGAATCACGCCACAGAATTCAGCTTCAAGCTAAGTATGACGTCCTGACTATCCTGTCAGCTCCTTACCAGGAGGACCTTACTCAACGGCAGCCCTTCGCAATGCTCACAGGTCTTGCCTCATCGCTCTTGGCAGGTAGGGAGCCCTACATTCCTCTCTCCCCCTATTCCTTGTACCTCTCCTCCCAATCTTCCCTCTCCTTCCACTTCCATCTCCCTCCTTTCATCCCACTACTCTACTCAACTTTTTTATCTCAGAGCTTACGAAACTCATCTTTATCCTCTTTATTACAGAAAATAATTGACAATATTTCTTCATCTTCTTTTGATCCACAAATTGGCAACTGCTTACGATAAATCCATAAGACACTTTGACAATTAATTCATAATATTCAAAATGGACAATAATCTTTGTCATTATTCTTCTCTGCCTCAACGTAATCCTCAATTCATTAAATAATTTTCTGGAATTGCCGCGATGTTGTCTCTAAGAAAACTGAAATAGACAAAATTTTGTTAAAAGCATTCTTATTCTTGCGGAGACATGCCTTAATTCCACTCAGGACTTTTCGATTAGAGGCTTTAATTGTTTACGCTTAGATTTCAATAACAAAGACATCAGAGATATGGCAGTCCTTATATTAGGTTTACAACTTTGCTTCCGCCGTTTTCCTATAGATGGCTTTAACGGTAAGTGGTGGTCGAAATAAATAGATTATAGACGTCATACAATAAACTTGGGCATCTGTCAACATAATCCCATAGAAACATTAGTCGATTTGTTTCTGCATCAT